GATTTATATATATGTACATGTTTTAATGTGTGCTGTGTTTGTGTTTGTTTTTATTTCTAATTTCTACAATTATTCATGCGTCTATATATTTTTTATAATCATTTTAAGTACCTTTCTCAGATTGTTTTTTGTTTAATTTCAATTATTTACTAAATAAATTTGTAGTGAAATATGTTTTCAATTGGTATTCACTTGAAATAACAAATGTTAGTGAAAAAGTTGTTAAAAATGACACATTCTGGCGTCGAAAAATAGAATAGTAGAAAAGTACGGTGTATTTATATGTTATGTAAATAAATAGTTCCATACTCATATCTTACCTTCGTTGTCGTAGTTACGTACACAATACGATAAAAGTGGCGCTCTCTAGCGTCGGATAGAATAAACTGTAGCAAAAAAGAAATTCCTTCATCGTAGTTCAAAGTGGCTCTATCTAGTGTTAGAAAGAAGAAACTTAGTGCTCAACGTTATATTAATTAAGTATTACTTACTAATAACATATTATTATAATTCTGCGGTAATATGTCTTACGCGTGCACCACACCACACAACGGCCAGTGTTTTTTACCTTTTTCTCTTTTCATTATGCAACTAGCAACCCGCCCCGGCTTCGCCCGGGTTCTTTACAGAAAATATAAAATATCCAAGGAGATGTAGTTTACATTACATACGGTACGTACCGTGCCATATATAATATAAAATATAATATAATATAAAAATTGTAATTACGTTAAACTATTGGCAAAACTCCCCTTATGGGGAAGGCTTATGTCCAGCAGTGGACAGTTAACACCTGAAATAACAGGAATAGTGATTATATCAGCTTTGCTTTTAGCTATTCTTCTAATTGCATGGTTCTTTGGCCTTGGTTTCGCTACTTACGCTTCATACTTCACTAGCACGTTCTGCCTGATTAGCAAATTTTTTTTTTTTTTTTTCATTATTTTATGCGTAATATATTGAAGCAGTAATTTATATATTTGCAAAACTTTCAAAGAAAAATTTTGTTCAAAGAATAATACAGTGTATAAAAAGTGCAGTGTAATAATAATAATATTTATTTAATCAGACAACATAAGACCAATTTTGTTAGTTATAAATTAACCTAACCTATGTTAGTAAATGAGCGGTCATGACGCTCTTGCATTGATAACATGTCCCACCCATTATATTAGGATGCGACAGTCCAAAGAAAAGAGGTTTGTTTGAATCGAAGCATTTGGCGTTCCATTGTTTCTGCCTACCCTAATGGGAGACAGGCGTGACAGATATGTATGTATGTATGTATGTATGCTACAGTCCATTTTACCAGCAATTGTCTTCAGGACATTGTTTTAGCTAACACGCAAATAAAATCGTAAAATGTTAGAACAGTACAGTGTTGTTAGAAAGTGATAGCAAATCGTATAGAAAAGTAGTGCGTTAACCTCGTCTAGTGATATATTGAAATAGTTGCTGTCTCATATTTCTAAAGTAATAAATATTTATAAATAAAATATTAATTATCTATGTATTACATCTCCATATTTAGAAATAATAGAATTCTCATCGTGCCTCCGAGCAACTTAAGCTGTACGCTATTTTAACATGTAAATAATGGACTAAAGATGGATAGACAATTGGTTAGATATTAAATTTAATAATTTTCGTTTAATAAAAATAAAACCAAATATTTATTTCTAACAAAAATAAAAACAATATAAAGGAATAAATAAATATAAAAAGAAATAGAATTCCAAGTCATCCAGTCTATTCTGTTTCCACTTTTCTGCCTTTTGGCAATAAAGAACTGTATTTAATATACATACATACATACATACATACATACATACATACATACATACATACATACATACATATCTGTCACGCCTGTCACCCATTAGGGAAGGCAGAAACAATGGAACGCCAAATGCTTCGATTCGAACAAACCTCTTTCGCTTCTTCCACATTCATCAATCTTTTTATACACGCTCGCCTGTATTTAATATTTATATATTAAATATTACAAATAATAAATATAGTTCTTATCTTATATATTATACGTTCGTTTTAGAGAAGCTAGGTACAAAGCTACGTTAGTGACGTCTAAAGAGCGAGATAGCACGATGTCGTATCAAGTGATTACAGTCGTTTCCAATAGTAATATTTTTTTTTCTTTTCCTATCATTTGTCTTGTAATGGTATACGACAATGTCTAATAAAAAATATTAAAAATAATATTTATATATTACAAATAATAAATACAGTTCTTATGTACTGTAGGGTAATAGGTTTTCATAGTAATTTAATTACGTAATTCTAACTTTACATGTATATGCTATGTTCTTTAGCAATATAAAGGTTGTAAACCTCTTAGTAATAAATAGAAATGAAGCACAAGCACTCAAAGTTTATTTAATTTTAGATTTCATACTATTAAATCATATATTTACTTATTTTACTTTGCATATGAGATTTTTTTTTTATTCAACTTAGAATGGCAAACAAGCTGACGGCCCACCTGATGGAAAGTGGTAACCGTCGCCTATAGACGTGAGCAGTACCATGGACATAACAGAGTATACAGTTTCGCCCATTATACCCCCCACGCATTGCCATTCCTGAGGACTCAGGTGTTATTCCTCCGTACCCAGTAAATTCACGCCATATCCCACCCTTCAAACCGAAACACAGCCATGCAAACACAACTGCTTTACGGTTGAAACGATATGACAAATAATATAAATACTCAACGTCTGTTAATCCATTCATACTTATTTAACTATAGCTTCTTTAGGACTTCCATTAACAATAATTGTGATATATTTTATATAGTGGCCACGTGGTTTACTATACTTGTTCACTCTTGATACGTCAGGGAGACCCGCTCTGTTCAACGGTTGGACAAGAAGTGTATCCCCACCCAAATTACAATCTTTTATATCTACATGGTCGAATTCGAGTAAACAAGTCAGTGAGACCACGTGTGCTATGCATATACTATCTACTATTGTTATTAGGTTGTACTTACGACTATATTTACTATTTTTCATACGTTTTATAACATATCTATACAATTAACATACAAAAATACGATTAAAACTATATGCTATAAAATTTGTACCCAATCAAAACACTATTCCCAACCTGTTACGTAATTACGTTAGCTTAGTAGCCAATCATTATAATCACATATTAGCTATCTTTGTCTATATTTTCTATCTCTCTTTACTGTTTTCTTAATCATTTTATGAAATTATAAAAACTATTTTATCAATTATTTTATATAACTATAAAACATTCTATGAAATATCTTAGGGGGCATCCATTAATTACGTGAGCTCAGAATAGGGGTCCAATTATTTCGATTGAAAAAATCCATGGATCACACTAAATGAAACGCAAATCTTACTAAATCTCACCTTTGGAGGAGTCTAAACTGACCGAAAAAGAGCTCACGTAATTAATGGATGCCCCCTTATGTAACTAGACACTGTTCTATGTGTTGTTTTATAAACACAAAAGTTATTACTTTAGTTAGTTAAATTCTGTAAACTGTTAGTAACTATTATTATCGTAAGATATTGAGTAATATGAACTATTTACAAATCATTGGGGCGGTGATCCGGAACACGTAGTAATGTTAATTTAAACCTGTTTTTATTGTCTTGTCTTGTATTTTTTTTTAATCGTCAAAGATGGAATGATAACATTTCTGCTGTCAATATACACTGGCAGGGCACTAGTAACGAACAATAAATGAGAAGGAACACAGGCCGGCTGGCATATTGTGACGAATCTAACATGAATTATCCACGATGGTCACCAGCACGTACGTGGGGTAGGATTGAGACGGGACTGCCCCGGGGCCTAAAGCTCAGAAGGCCCTTCGGACTTTGAGTTACAAACTATAAATTTAAAATCAGATTCCAGGAACGTGTCTTTAATAATGGCAAGTTTTTTGATAAACATACATATACATACATATCTGTCACGCCTGTCTCCCATTAGGGAAGGCAGAAACAATGGAACGCCAAATGCTTCGATTCAAACAAACCTCTTTCGCTTCTTCCACATTCATCAATCTTTTTTGATAAACATTCAGGGAAATTCTCAACAAGTCTCGAACATCCTTGTTTGAAACCTGCAGGAAACTCTTCTATATTCTTAGGCTGGTTTATTTATTGCCCCAGCGCCTTTGGTTACCTAGCTATGCGACTGCTCCCAGGGGGACAGCGTGGAGATTAACGTATCACTAACAGCACTTTCCTACATGTCTTATACGTTTCATGATTTTTCCTTTTGTATTTTACGACAATAAATATATATTTGTGAAAAACCTAAGGAAATTTGGATGTTTATGGGACTGGTCTCGTAGTTTTTTTTTTATTTAATTGTTAACAAATGATATTAGGTTCTATGGTTGAATAGTGTTCCAATTATGATTACGTACACTTACGGTTTTATATATTATTTGTGTTTTTTTATTTATTTTTTTTTTTATTTTGGTATATATTGTCGAAACAAATTATTATATATTTTATTAAACAAATGTAATTAATACATCGAGCAGTTTTACGAGACAGTTGTTATTAGTGATACATTATTTAATGTTTATTTAAATATAACAATTTCACAAAAAAATACACATAATAAATTAATAAAAAATAAACAAAACGAATTAAACGGCCAGCGTCGATTTTGATTCGCTGTTTATTGTGCTCTGTGATTAGTGGATTCGTGAGACAACGCCGAGAAGTGGGGATAGCGGGAGCGGGTATAAATAAAAGTGCGTCGTGTAACCTATATTATTATTAATGTCGGAGTCGGAGTCGGGAGTCGGGCAGTCGGGCAGTCGGGCAGTCGGGCGTTCAGCAGAGACGGTGCTCGGTGATAATGATGGCGATGGCGATGGCGATGGCGGGGTGACGGTGACGACTGTTGCTTGCTTTTGGATGGAGAAACGCATATATGGACAATAGAATGCATGCATGCATGCTCGCACGCGCATATATTTAAGAATATAGTTTTAAATTAAGATTTTATTGGAAGATTGTGTATGTACCTTGTGCCTACTACTTGTATATTATTATATATAATATATAATCGTCGTCGTCGTCGTCGTCGTCGTCGTGTTCGACGGTCGGTTGCCGTCTGTTCACCTGCTGTTTGATGAAGAAGATGAATCTACTACGACGTCGTGTCTCACTCGTGTCCCGCCTGCCAAGAAACCGTTTCGAATTCAGAAAAATATTGTTAGCCCTGAAAAGGGCTTTTTGTTTTGTTGTTTTTGTTTGCAGATACCACTACGACACACGCGCACGATCGGGGGCCGTAGTCAGCGTCGCCGTCGCCGTCGTCGTCGTCGTCGTCGTCGTCCATGGACGCAGAGCGGCGGGACGCGGCGGGGCGGCGGGGAGGCGCATCGCATCACACGCACCCGGGCGGCGACTGCGGCTGCTGCACCACCACACACTTTATCACACACCAAATGCGAACCTAATCCGTTCTCTATCGACAGCGACGACGGCGGGGTCGACGTCGTTGTGTCGTGGTGGTGTGGATGGAGGTGACAGCAGCTCTCAGCGTGGCCGACTCCGTCCGTCCGTCCGTCCGTCCGTCGGTCGACGTCTACTTCGCGACGAGAGAGACCGCACCGCCGAATTATTACTTCTTGGCTGATGCGGTCTTCTTAGCGGAGGTCTTCGATTTGGAAGCGGCGGCGGCGGTCTTCTTCGGTTTGGGCGCCTTCGGTTTCTTGGTCGGCGGCTTGGCGGTCTTCTTGGCCTTCGGTGCGGCGGCTGCGGCGGCGCCGCCTTTCGCCTTGGCCGGCGTGGAGGCCTTTCTCGCGGCGGCAGCGGCGGCGGCGGCGGCGGGTTTCCTTTTGGCGGCGGCCGCCTTCTTGTCTTTGGTGGCCGCCTTCGACTTGGACGGCGATGCGGCGGACGAGGCGGCCTTCTTCGCCTTACCGGCGCCGGCCGTCTCCTTCTTTCTGGACTTGGCGGTCGCCGAAGCGGCGGCGGAGGAGGCCGAAGAGGATCCCTTACCGCCGCCCGAGGCGGAGGCACCCGCGGAGCCGGTCCTGCTCGACGCCGTCGACCTCTTCTTCTTGCCCCCGGCGGAGGATTTCGACTTGTCGAGCTTGAAGGAACCGGACGCGCCCTGACCCTTGGTCTGAATCAGAGCTCCCGATTCGACGGCGCTCTTGAGATACTTTCTGATGAACGGTGCCAATTTTTCAGCGTCAACCTTGTACTGCGCGGCTATATATTTCTTGATCGCCTGCAGGGAGGATCCGCTGCGCTCCTTCAGCTCCTTAATGGCGTTGTTCACCATCTCGGAGGTCTTCGGGTGCGTCGGTTTGGCTTTCGCCTTCTTGACGCCGCCGGCCGCTGAAGCGGACGCCTTCGGTTTCTTCGCCGGCGTCGCCGGTGCGGGGGTTTCGGACGCTACAGCTGTGTCGGCCATCGTGTGTGTGTGTTTGTTTTACGCACGTGTAAATATCGATATAAAGATGAGAGATTATTCAATCAATTTTACACTTATTTTTGCTATGCTGCGTTTCAGTACATGGCGACCGATGAAACCTTCGGCAATACCGTATCGAGAACCCGTGTGCCGCTAGACGTTTTCTCGTATGAACACTTCCAAGTTTTCACTAGCCCGCGTCCGATTAATTGCGTCTAAAACGTCATATTCACAATATTCAGGTCTGGACGACCCGCCGGAGTGACCTGTCCGAGTTGATCTCCGCATCCGACGCACCGCCGAGGCGGTGAGGTTCGCGTGCGTCGCGCGAGAGCGGTATATTTTTGTCGTTGTGTATCGCGAGTACCTCGGGTCCACTTTAAAAGTTATTTTTCTTAATTGTACACGAGTTTTTGGCGTGTACGAGTCGACGTTACAAGTGTGAAGATACCGTTCTTCGAATCTGTAGCAATTATTCAAACGTCGCATCGCTAACGCGTCTATTTTGACCGTCTCAAGTGGAGGGTCGTAAAACTCGCGCGGTCGGCGGCAGACGTACGGTCGATCGTCCAACCGCACGCTTAAGAACATACATACGGCGTCTGTCCATTTGTTAGAATGCAACCTGCATTTGTGGTGGTTATAAATAATCTTTTTTATTTTTTATTTATTTATTTATTTTTTTTTTTTTAAAGTATACGATTGTCCAGTAATTAATTAATTTATATATATTGCACGAGCGAACGAGTAAGCAAGCAAGCAAGCAAGCAAGCAAGCAAACAAACAAACAAACAAACAAACAAGATAGCTAGCAAGCCAACCAACTAGCGAACAAGCAAGAAAGAAACAAAAAAAAAAAAATAAATATTAAAGCAAAACGAGTAGGGGAGGGGGAGGGAGCGGTCTTCGGTTCAAAGTTCGCACGCCGATCGTCAATAATAATTGTCTCGATCAACATCACAACAAAACAATAACAACACAATTCTTAGTTAAATTATATCTCAAGTATTATATAATATAATAATAACAATAATCTTTAGCTACGTCGCTATA